GGGATTACAGGCACCCGCCACAATGCCTGGCTATTTTTTTTTGTTGTTGCAGTTGTTGTTGTTGTTCAGCTGGCCCAGGCTGGGTTCAAACCAGCCAGCCTTGGTGTTATGTGGCTGGTGCTGTAACCACTGTGCTACAGGCACTAAGCCAATCTTTTCATTTTCCGTCTCAATTTTAATGAAACTTATCTATTTTTTTTCCAGTGGTTGTTTGTGCTTTTGATGCCATAGCTAAGAAACCGTTGCCTAATCTGAGGTCATCCAGATTTAAACTTATGTTTCTTTCTTAAATCAAACATTTCAATTTAAAAGTGTTATAGAAGCTCTTAAGTTTAGGTGTTTTATCTATTTTGAGTTATCATCAGCCTCATATTTGAATATGATTTGAGATAAGGGTCTGACTTCATTCTTTTGCATGTGGATATTCCAGTTGGCCCAACACCATTTACTGAGTGAGACTTTTAATAATTATTTTAGGTCTTTGATCTGATTTAATTCTTGTAACAGCCCTATAAGATGTTTATTATCATTATCAAGTCTATTTTATAGACTTTGAGTCTCAAAAGCTAAGTATCTTTCCAAGGGCTGATAGCTCAAACCCCAAGTCTTGCTGGCTTCAGAGCCATAACATGTAACCATTAGGCTACCCGTTGCTTCTGTGAAATGTACATGCTCTCGGTTAAATAGTAAGGCTAGAATTAAGTGGTTGTCTAGGACTAAAGGACATCATGAACTTAATACTGTATGTTTCAAGAATAAAGAAAAGAGAGAGTTGTACCTACTTTTATCCAGTGATGTCTGACCTCTCTAGGACCTTTGGCAGAGGATTTTAGGATTGAATTTTTGTTTCCAGGGACTTGAGTAGTGCTGACTATAGAACTTCCTCCTCCAGAAGTGGCTGGGAGCCTCCTTTCAGGATGGCGCAGGCCTGGAGCTGGGGTAGGCCCGGGGAGCTCTGACTCACAGGGTTTGCACTGCTCCCTAAACAGCCCGCATCTGAGGGATTGTGCAGTGCCCATTCCCAGGCTGTGGTGGCTTGTGAGAGCACTGGCTGGGTAACTGGGAGAGAGGTATCACTCAAGTGAACAATTACTTCTGGTGTCAGAGCCTCTCATGACACAGCAGAGCAGGACTGTTGCTCTGGGTTTCTAGGTTCTGGATCATCCTGAGCAGTCTGCTCTGGGAAGTCTCTGCCTTTCACATTCCAGAGTCCCTGCTTGTGACGTGGCCTCATACATGCACCTTGTCCTCCAGGATGGTGTGAGGAGTGGTGACACTATACTTGTTAGTCTTTTGCACCTACCCAAAGCTGTCCCCTAGGTGACAGGGGCTCCCTGGGCTCTGGAGAGCAGCAGCATCTGCTCATCATGAATCACAGTTGGGTGGAAGTGAAATCCTGACTGGCTGCCGTGACAGCGTCTCACCCCTGTTGTCGCTCTGGTTTTTCCAGTCCTGGACTTCAGTGATCCCTTCAGCACCGAGGTGAAGCCGCGGATCTTGCTCATGGGCCTGAGGAGAAGCGGCAAGTCATCCATCCAGAAAGTCGTCTTTCACAAAATGTCCCCCAATGAGACCCTGTTCCTGGAGAGCACCAATAAGATATGCCGGGAGGATGTCTCCAGCAGCTCCTTCGTCAATTTTCAGATTTGGGACTTCCCGGGACAGATCGACTTTTTTGACCCTACCTTTGATTACGAGATGATCTTCAGGGGGACAGGAGCCCTGATATTCGTCATTGACTCCCAGGTGAGGCTCAGCATCCTGGGGGCAAGCTGCCCCCTCCATGTGAAGGGAGATTTGTGATGGTTTTGCTTTGGTTTCTAAAGTTTGGAGTAGATTGTTCTAGCAAACAAGTGTTTCTTAGGCAGGGCTCTCATACTCTGCAAGAGAAAAGACTCCAGCCTTGACCCAGTCAGTCTGCTGGCTGCCAGGGAGCTGTTTGCAATTCAGCAGGTCCCAGACCTGGGACCCTCACAAAGAGGGGACGGACCATTCAGGCCAAGGACAGCAAGTATGTGTCATCTACCCCCCTCCCAAGACATCTACAAAAGGCCACAGGTTCTCTGCAACAAAAATATGGGCATAAATTTACATTTAAACTGTTTATTGTCTCCTATAAGACAAAGTTCTTTTTTTTTTT